CATGTTGCCTTCCAAAATGGGCCATGCTTGCACGTTGAGTTTCTTTGGCAAAACGATTCAAATGATCATAGTCCCTCGATGACGCTTTCGAAAGTTGCCTATTAAAATGATCATAGTCCCTTCAAGAAATATTGCCAAAGACACTTGGCACCATTGCATTCATGGTCCATACGATGACCCGCGCCTGTCCCGTTAAACATCCTAACGCAAGATTGTCTACCAAATACAATGGTGGAACAAAATTGTTAAAAGGGTTAAAACATGAGAAAAACCTTTGATTAAATTTAGGGGTAGACAACTCTTAGTTACTTGATCAAACTTGCAAAAACACTTGCCTACTTTTCAAACCACACTCCACAAACACTTTCAAAAACAAACTTCCAAAAATATTTGAAACATCTTTTCGAAAAGATACACACCTTTGTATATACTCAAACACGAGTCATCACAACGGTTGCCTAGACAAGGCCTCTTTTTCAAAACATTTTCAAAACACACACACCATTTCAAGCAATCGAAAATCAAAGGCAAGTTGATCTAAAACCAAGTAACTAAGAGCCCATGGATAACCATGAATGAAAAGGGTGCTAATACCTTCCCTTTTCATAATCTACCCCCCGAACCCACGAAATATCTCAAAAGGTTTTTCCTGTGCTTTTTAACCTTTCCTTTAGGATAAAATAAAAAGTCGGTGGCGACTCTTGCTAAACCAAACAAGTGCGAATACAAACGCAAAACCCAAGTCAGTTCTCCCACCGTATCACAACCAGGTTTTCCACATTTGAAACAAACCACATCATCAGGAGCATCTCCCCCACTAGTTCTTTGACCCTGAGCAACATTCTGTTTAACTTTACCAGTTGGGGCATCGTAAGGCTTACCATAGTTCTGTTGGTGCGTATCCCTCTTCTCATTGATAATATTATAGTGAGCATTATTATCTTCTTCATAGATCCTGCAACTATTATTCAAATCGGCAAAGACATGAATCTTCTGGTATCCAACTGCCTTCTTGATCTCTGGGCGCAACCGGTTCTCAAACTTGATGCACTTTGAAAACTCGGCATTTGCCTCGCTGTAGTGCGGGTAAAACTTAACCAACTCAACAAACTTTGTAACTTATTCAGTAACCGACATACTCCCTTGCTTCAGCTCAAGAAACTCAATTTCCTTCTTACCAAAAATGTCTTCAAGGAAATACTTCCTCAGAAATTTCCTACGGAACACACCCCAAGTGATATTTTCACCTGCAGCTTCCAACCTCAGATGAGTCTCTAGTCACCAGTCATCAGCCTCAACTGCTAGTATATGAGTACCATATTGAACCTTCTGCGCTGGAGTGCAGTCCATCACACAGAAGATTCTCTCAATATCTTTCAACCAATCCAATGCTCCGTAAGGATCAGACTTACCCTTGAAGGTAGACGGATTCTCCCTCTGGAATGTCACCAAGCTACGAGATCCAGCATTCCCGTCAGCGTTCGACTGATTCTCCATAGCATGCGTCATAGCTTCTAAAGCAGCAACAAGTGTAGCATCATTTCATCCAGCCATCTCAACTTATCACTACAACATAAACAACGGTTAGAACTCAAGTTAACAATACTCGATTGTTAGACAAAACTACAACTCTACAACTTGGTCGGACAGACCGACCTTCTCTGATACCACTAATGTAACACCCCAATTCTATCTAATGAATTATATAAAATCAGAGTTTCAAAATTTCCAACAAACATATGGAATGTTACACTTTCAACTTAAAACAATGACAATCAATCACCTGCAAATCGGATACATAACACAAAATTTTGGGTGAACCGATAATAACCTGTTGAGTCTTTAAAAATAAAACAACTTTCATTACTACGCAGCGGATTCACAAAATTCAACTTGAAGCAACATAACATCATATCCAACTCAAAACAACTTTAAGACAACATGTCTTTAACTTCAAATAAATATAGCATCTTTATCCACTCAAAACAGCTTCAAAATAACAAGTTTTTAATGCAAACAACTTAAAATTGCAGCAACATAATAAAACCAACAATAAAGAAAACATGTGTTCACCCCCCTAAGTGTTACGTATCAGAGCGACAACACCGACTTGAACTAGCGAAGGTAACAACTATCCTTCTTGATTACCTGTACGTTACCAACAGAGGACAATATTCAAACAGAAGGGGTGAGATATCGTAATATATAATTGAGTGTATAATAAATAATATATTAGTTCAGATTATATAAAACCACCACTTCACAACTTTCAACCAACATCAATCATCACAAGTCAACAACACAACATCTTAAATATGCAACATGGAATGCGACTCGTTACAATGCACATGGATGTGGTACCAATGGAGCAAAACTCCCAACTTAGAAATCTACTAATTAATAGAGGCATCAACAAGGCACAAGCCTTCAACTTAATTTTCCAATCCAGACCAACTTACTGAGCATCAACTCCAACTTGATATGCTATGTATGCGACACAATATGAATGTCAGAATAACAACAACAAAATTCCATAGCAATGCAACAACAAACCAACATTGACCATAAGCCTACAACTTAATATTTTCCCATAAATAGAGGCAATAACATCACCTGCTAATTCACATTTTTCAATAAAGAACACAATACAAGGAGTCAACCAAAATTTACTAGAAATAAACCGCGTAATTATTCAGACTATTACGATTATTTCCGATTAATTAATTATCGGCTAAAAATTCTATTATTTCTACTTTGTTCTAAAGTTCTTATTATGTCTTTGATAAATTATTACCACACTGCCATCGGGTTGTCCATACTGTTAATATTGTTTTTTTTTTAAAAGTTACTAGACTGCCATTCAATATTTATGCTACATAATACCAATCTGTTACTAAAATGATCATGCTAAATAATGCTTATGCTATTACCACTTTCTACTATTGAATTACTTTCTGCTACCTGATAATTCATTATTCCTACTACATATACATGCTACATTCTATATATGCTACTTTATATTCTAATTATATATGCTACTTTATTTTATGTACTATATGTACTATTTGGTGGTCTATCTAAGTTTAAGTAATTTAGTGGTCACTTACTACTTTGACTAAAATAAATTTCCATACTAATAATAAATTATAATTTAGCAAAGATGTATTATTATTATTTGGAAGTTCCAACTTACCCTACTCACAACTCTAAACATGTCAGAATTACGCAAAACATATAAAAAAGTGACTTTTAATAATTTAAAACAACTCTATTGATAACTTTAACATCACTATTGACAACTAACAATCCTATTGACAACTCTAACCGAATTAAAATTAATTTAAATTAGTTAACTAACCCAAATGATTATATTAACTCAAAATTCTAAATTAATTATACTTAATAAATTTAAATCACTATTACTATTATTAATACTAATGGTTTATTATATATAAATTGAATGACATACTATTCAAATTGACTTACAGTATGTATATATTCTCATTTACTAATTGTTATCAAATCGGTATGGACGCTACAATACCAATTGGATGCACCTTAACGAAGCAATATAAATATATATGCGTAAGAATGATTTTCAAATGCTACAGTATATAGCAACTTAATATACCCATCAGGTCGTTATATAATATGAATATTACTATTGTGCATACACCTGCTAATGCCACTACAGTGTTAATTTTCATTTAATTTCTAAGTTTATCGTAGAGTAAATTAAAAATACAGTATCACATATATATTAAATTGAATTCTCAATTATCTCTCAATTTCACCAATATATCAATTTTAAACACAAACAGAAACAATTTTACAAACTCAATCCCATATACTATTCATCATATACCCGATTATAGAGTCAAAACCTCACTCTTACCTTGGATTAAATGTTGCTCTAACTCTCCGATTGAATCCTAGATTTACCTCTTTTTGCAGTTTCCACGTATCTCTTCTCTAACCCTTATTCCTCTTATATTGCCAAAAACATTTTTTATTCTTACTGCTACTTCTAATTCTATTATAATATAACCATTATACTATTATTCTTATTTTTATCTTATTGGACTTAAATTCCTACGTCTCCCTTTCTACTATTTCTAATATTAAAAACTCACTTAATTAGTAATAGTATTATTCTAATACTATTTCTACAACTTAATCAAATAAATTAATTCAACTAAGAACGATATAACTTAAATCAACATTTCACAACTTCAAAAATTTAATTAGAAAAATATTCAAAAATATTTAATTAAATAATTAATTAAATATTGTGCGTTATATCAATGATGGAGACCTTGGCCCAACACTGAAGGCTATAAATACCCTCTCACTTGAGAGGGTCAGATATTCATTCTTTCATACTCATTCTCATATTTGTTTGTACTACTCTGAACCTTACTTTGACATCAGAGTGTCTTGCAGGTACTCCTAACTCGTTTTCAGTTGCTGCTCAACTCACAGTTCGTAGGCTTTAACGATCAAAATCAATATTATAAATTAATAAAATAAATAAATTTATAAAATTATTTATAAAATAAAATTATAAATTATAACTAAAACTAAATTTATAAAATAAAACTTAGAAATTAATAAAGTAAAACCAAAACTATATTAAATTCAAATTTATATAAATAATAAAATAAAATAAAATTTTAACTAAATTAAAATTTATAAAATAAAACAAAAATTATATATTAAAATGAAGTCAAAATTGAATTAAAAATTATTTAATAAAATAAAACTAAATAAAATAATGACTAAAATAAAACTAGTTAAATATAAAAGGAAAGAAAAAAAACCTCCCTGTGATTCATTCTGTCAGTCTCTCAGTTCTCAAAATTGAACCCTAATCTCTCCCAACACAAAATTGAGCTCTAATCACCAGCCACAATACTCAACATAGACATTCTGTAACCCTTCCGCAACACCGAACTTCTGAACCATTTTCAAAATCCCACAAGAGAATCAAATCGACCGAGATGAAATCGCTTATCGCGGTTGTCCAGAAGTCATCTTTGTTATCTCTCTTCATCGCTTTGATTATCGCGGTTGCAACTCAAAGGTTTCATTCTTAGTAACACGTTGAGGTTTGCAAATTTGAGGCCTCTTCATTGTAGAATAACATATGTGAATGATAAGAAAACCAGACTCCTTAAACGAACCTTAAATTTCACTCATATTTTCTATCATCATTGACTTCACAATTTTGAAAATTATTTTCTATTTTCAATATGCTTTTACAAATTATAAAACTAAAAACCTCTGTACATATGGTAATCATAAAGATATTTATAGATCATTGTTTTCCACTATATTAATGTCTACACAAATAGGAATATAGCCAATTTTTTTATTTTGGTTTGGACTTTGAACCTGATTATCATTTTGAAATTCTAGGGGTTATTTTGGGGTAATGATAATGTGGATGACTAGTTTGTTACATTATCAATATGTCACAGAATGCTACGTATTATACATGTATATTGTTAATATTCTTACTATATCATGGAATACTATGCTTTTAAAACTTAATGATCATAACCTCCACTGATATGAAACTCTTGTAGGGAATCTGTTTGAGGGATGTCACTGGTTAACACAAAACTTTTATGGATGTCTATATATATATTCTTCCGACTTATGAGAATATTCAATACCAACTCTAAAAAATTTAACACAAAAAGTTTTACATGTCTAAAGTTTTTCATGTTTATTGTATTTCTTAAGTTTTTTCGGTGACTTATGTTTCTGATGATTCATGTTTCTTAAGTTATTCAGTTTTGCATGGCTAAATGTTTCTTATGTTGTATAAAGTTTTTTCGGTTTCCATCCACACCTGTTTGAGTCATTTTGTTTGCAAATAAGCTTACTTTGTTATTAAGCATAGTTGATGCTCATTTAATCGAACTATAACCTTACTTTTCATGTCCTGCATCCTAAAATAATGTGTTTTCGGTTTTGAAGCTCATTTACGATTTTGCAGCTTACATTGTTTTTATGCACACTTGAGCAGATATTTATAAAGTTTTCAAGCTTATGTTGTTTTTATGCATACTTGAGCACATCTGTATAAAGTTTTCAAGCTTCCATTTTGAACATATGGTTTTGAAGCTTATGTTGTTTGGCTTTAACCTTACTTTTGATGTCCTGCTACTCTTAATATTGGCTATAAGCTTATGGTATTGTGCATAGTTGAGCAGATTTATACAAAGTTTTCATCCCATACTAACTACATATTTCTTTTGAAGCTTATGTTATTTGTCTATAACCTTACTTTTGATGTCCTGCAACTCTTAGTATTGGCTATAAGCTTTTTGTTATTGTGGATAGTTGAGAAAAATTGTACATAGTAGCCATAGCAAGATGAGTGCACCTTCCTTTAAAAGCTCTTTTTGTTTGGCTATAACCTTACTTTTGTGTAGTCTTTATTTACCAATTATATGCTAGATGCCAAGGCCTCCAATTTGTGAATGGCCTGGAGATAGGAAGCCAGGTTTGTAAAATGGGTGTCTGAGTTACTGATTTGTGGACCGTCAAAGAGAGGAATGGCTAGTTACACGTAGAACTCATCATTCAAGATGCAAAGGTAATAAACCAAATATCATTTCCAACTTTTTCTCATGTTCAATTATCATCTTAAATTTCTCGCTAAATTGATTTATACTTCTTTGACCTGTATTAGAGACACAAAATTCAAGTCATTACAAGTCCGAGTGAGTTCAACCATTGGATGGAGGTGTTGACAGAACAGCAGACATATACATTGTATAATGGTGAACTGTTGAAAAATGATCTCCAATTAAATGCATGTGACAATGATCTCAACCTTTTGTTCAACATTGCAACCAATCTCTGCAAGAATCAGATTCACAACATACCTCCTTACAAATTATATTTCAACCCTATATTTGATTTTCTCTGTGGAAGTTACAAGCATGATCAGTTATATGGTAATTGAAATTTCTTTTTGTATCACTGTAAGCTCATTTGACTTGATTATTATGCATAACTTTTGTTTGTTCCTTTTCTACTTGACGTAAAATGATAGATGTCATAGGAATATTACACGAGGTCATTAGAAAGTAGACTGTCGGCAACAACAAAAGGCTTATGCTAACATTGCACTCAGTGACTATCATGTCAACTTCATCAAATTGGCTATCTGGGATGCTTTTGCTTCCAAACTTTTTGACTTTCTCAACTCAAATACCAATGTACTCCCACCATTGTTATACTAACCCATGGTTGGTGCAAACCAAGTGCATGTAACTATTAGCCTTCTGTTTCATAGTATATGCGTATGAAACAGTGATGATCTTGTCCTAGTTATCTTTTGTCTTACATTGGATGTTTAAACTACAAGCAAACCAACATTGTCAAATGCATGGAGTGGAAGTAAACTACTCATCAACTATGATCACCCTCAATTTAATCATTACAGAACTAAGTAACTACCTTTTATTTAACAAATCACATCATTCATTGTTCTTATGTCCATTGTATGATACTGATCTTTATTGTTGAACCATTCCAGGTTAGGCTCTTATCAGCCATGCATGCAGAATTCTCAATCTTTATCGCAGTCGTATGGCTCACATAACTCTGAATATGATAAGTTTTGGACCAACTCTAATGAATTCAATACCACTTCTGAAATAACGGGACAACATAAGGTCTTGTGAATTCTTTTTTCATATTTGTTAACATGTATCTTTAGAATACGTTCATCACCTTTGTTGTATTGCTCTTAATTATTTCTATCCATGTATCAATGTATCAATGCATTAATTAAGAAAATAAACCAGCATTTTGATTCACCAAAGCAAATTAGCATATATATAAGGCCAAAATGATGAGTCTATGGTCTTCTATCGATGCAAAAAACTACTTCATGTTATGTTTTAGTAGTTTGCAATCAAAGACTACTTCTAATCTCGTTTTTGTTCTACACTGATTAATAAATATTATGCTAATTTTAGTAGTAGTTGCAAAATTTGGACTTTGAAAACAATGTGATTATCAATATTGAAATGATATGAACAATGTCTAAAAAAGTTTAGCTCTAATAATGTTGAAATAATCTAAGTGATGTGCATTTGTTACTGAACCCCAACTATATAAAAAAAATTAAGTGTCTCTTAAGATTTGATAACCAAACAACAACTATTTTCATGTTTCATAAGAAAGAGTTTATTAATTTCATGATAAACCTTATCTATTGTATTTTTTATTCCATGATAAACCTGAAAAAGTTGTGGCCCAAGTTAGTATTATTGGGGTCCACGGTAGGTGCCGTTGTAGTGGTAAAAAGTATAGTAGTGTATGATACCCTTGCAAGAGCATGGGTACTCAAAGTCCTTAGTAGGGATATTACGATGTATGATGGTATGGTTTTGCCTACGGCAGCAAGAAGCCATGTATGGTGGTTTTGAGACTCTGATCGCCTAAGGTGAGAGGTCTCATTTATCAACGTGATGCTTTAGGGTAAGAATGTATAAGGAGTGATATGTATGAGTTAAGATTTGTCTATTCTTCCGTTAGGGCAGGAGTATTTATAGAGGCCTCTTGGGCCTAGGGTTTCTGTTGTGAATAACGAAAAAGTTCAATTTCAATATGTGAGGCAAAGAAAAGTAGAAACCAAAATAAATGTCCTTCAACAATGATAAATAATAAACATAAGATATAATAAAATAAAGCGAGAAAATATGAAAGGTTTGTTTACCCAATTCGATCAAAAAGATCTACTATGAGGAATATAGTATCTCTCCAATTCATTATTTCCATAGTTGTTACAAGAAATTACAAATGAGTTACAAGAAAATATCCTTCGCCTTCAAAGTTCCCAAGAACGACTCTGAAGGCGCCCACGAACAACCCTATTTTATACCAAAGTGTTTTCCAACCTCTCCAACATTCAATAATGTAAGCACACAAGCCTGATGTATAAAAAGTGTTTCCCAATACCCTTAAATAACTCCAAATATTTCCCTAAACCTTTTCCTTTATAAGTTTCCCTTGAGAAGACCCTAAACCATTTGCTCCACCTTTTTGTTGTAAACTCTATGATTGTCACACATTCAAACAACAAAGATATATATATATATATATATATATATATATATATATATATATATATATATATATATATATATATATATATATATATATATATATATATATATATATATATATATATTCTAACATTAAATAACGAGAACTGCCCAAACGGGACATGGTTGCTGCTTTTCGGCTTTCCGGTTTTTGGCAATCTCAAAATATGTTTTATGTCTCTTCATCAACAAAGGTTTTAAGGCATACTTAAACAATCTCCACCTTGAATTTAAGCTGTGTTGATTTCAATTTAACCATTAACCACCTTGATGCTCTCTACCATTTTGAAATTCTAATTAATAACCTTGATCAAATTCAAGGCACCATTGAATCTAGATCTCGCCACTTGCATCCACTTGTTTCCAATCACCTTTTTTTGACTAGGTAATCTAACAAACCTACAAGCATGATTTTTCAACCATTGTTGACTCCGTATGTTTTCAGTGCCCCCTGAAGGTTCTTCCATTTTTATTTTGCAACCCTTCAGCCACATTGAAAACATAATGTACAAGGCTAGCAAAATCGTCCTTACCTTATCACAATTCAAGTGATAATAAAAGATCTTTGTAATCGTTCCATCATTACTACTAGTATCTATAGTGGGAAACTCCACCTCAGATTGAGTTTTCTCTGTTATAATTTCTAAAAGGTTTATCCCTTAGTTTATACAATTCTTCCACTGAAGAAATTTTCTACCAACCAAGTAAGCTACTTTGACATCAATCCTTCCTTAAAAACTCAATAACAACTCAGCGGTCACATACATTTATATCCCTTGTTTTATACAAAATTCATTATACTATTCTGAAACAGCCTCAAGGCATTCGTAACGCTTTGACCTCAAATCCCATAGCTCTTTGTTATCATGAAAGCCTCCACTAGTTAATGATAAATGAATAACAACATTTGAACCTTCTAAAATATATAAACCATATATTTTAGAATCTTTAGCAATAATCACTTCATCACGTGAAATCTTCAACACTTCATGTTAAACTCTAGCGCAATAGCCTAGATCATCATACATGCTTATACATAATAAATTTCACTTGAGGTCTAGAACTTGTGGAACCTTGTTTTGCAGGCATTAGGTATCTCTGTTTTGATGATGACAACTCTGAATTACATATCAGACACTCAACATATGGAATATGTATTCGAGTTTTTTTCTCAACTATAAAAGAACCGAAACAAAATAATTATCATGATAAAGGTGTAACACTATGACTAATGTAGAAGAGCAATAAGATAACATTCAGTATAGTAAAAGTTGCAACTATTTAGAAAGTCAACCAATGTAATCAAGCAGTCAAATATGCAAGCCATAAACTCGATAGATGATTGATAAAGTCTTTAAACACAAAGGTTTCAGGCAAAGGCATTCAGATGAAGAGTTCATATCAAAAGCCTCAAAGAACTGGAGAAAATATAAAAATATCAATAATAGTGAAGAGGAAACAAACAGAGTTTCAAAAGACATATCATAGCAGAAGGTCAAACACAATTAAAATATTAGACACATGATTAGGGAAGTTATCCCAATTTAGAAACTGAGTGAAACAATGTAAGTAAACATTCTTTTATCTTTGAAGTAAATGGCTATAAGCATACACATACACGCGCACACACACACACACACACACGCACTTAAAACCCTTTTACAAAATTATTATGAAAAGAAATACTTTTGAAGAAATATGTAAGAGTTGCTTAGAAATAAATAGGAACATTCAAAAAGCCAAACAACATATTTTAACTGGATTTAATTAGTTAGTTCAACCGGTTAGATTGGCACGTTGTTGAAGATAAGGGCTATTTTAATGAACCAAAAAGATTAAGCAATGGATAGGTATCTCTTCGTTCCTTTTTTGAAAACTTAGTCGTTACGTTAAATGATTTAATTGATTGCCCCAATCAATTAGTAACAGTCAAAAATGGATTTATTACATTTCCTCTTTTAGAGGATTTGAATCCTATAAATAGAGATCTCATTCCTCAGTTCAAATCATCCATAATGTGAAATGTGTATTGACACACACTTTCTCTATCTCTCTAAAAGTTTTTATGTCACTTTCTCTCACTAGCTCATATAGCCATATGTTTTATGAGGAAAGAATTTTTGTGTATGTAAGGAGATATTGTAATCCTAGATGGGTAGCTATGTATGAAGTTTTTCATGGTTGTTCTTTCCTTGAGATTGTTAATGTTGGTGAGCTTACCTTAAGGATATTGTGAATCATTTTTCATTTGAAGGTTTAAGATCATCAATATTAATAAACTTACCAATAAGTTCATGGTTATCCCATTATAAAATCATAGGTTAGTTGATCAACCTGTTAAAATCATGAGAGGTTAATGGTTATCCTGTTAAATAAGATTGAGCTTGGCCACTTTAATCTCAACAATGGAGAAGACACAAACGTTGAAATATTTCATCTTGTATTTATCATGGTTGTAGGACAACCAACATTTCCTTCTATAAGGGGGTTTGTGAGCTTCACCTACTAAAAGCTCTCAAGTACTTAATAAAAACTCTCAAGACTGATTCTTGGGGAGAGGAGTAGGTCCTTCAGTTTTGACTTAACCTCTATATATTATGGTGTTCTTATTTTCCTTTAACTTTTACTTTCTGCATTTGATTTCAAAATTATTTTCCACTGCTAAGATATTAAAAGTTTTTGAAACTCCTATAAATCTTAGGTTTTAGAAAATATTTTTCAAACTATGTTTTTAATCTTAGAATTTTTTTTCAAAACCATGTTTTTTCAAATCACACAACTCAACCCCCTACCCTCTTGTGTGTGACGTTTAAATTCTAATAGAACATACCTCACATTGTGAATAAGAAGCTCACGATCATTAAACATTTTAAGTCTGACTGTACCAATACCATGAACCTTGCAAGCCTTATTATGACCAAGGCAAAATACTCCACCTTTTAACATATTTAGAGTCTCAAAGTATTATTTTCTTGG